TTTTTATTAATTTTATTAGACTTTAAATAATCATGCTAAACATGAATACCATAAACATTAAACTAGGTACCTTAGGAAAAAATTTTGAGAGGGTGGGGGATTTTCCAATTTTCACCTCCCATTTRGTTGTCGTCTTTTTTTTTTTAATCCCCCCACTTTCAGAAATCATGTCTACGCCACTGATACCTAACGTAGTGTGTTGACCAATTTTGGGAACACAGAATTTATTGGTCGGATTATGTTGGAATAAATTTATTTTTTTTATAAGAAAGTGGTATATAAACACATTTTCAGATAAATTTCAAATTTTTAACCCTCTCGGTATGCACATGCGCAATGCAACTTATTTTTTTTTAATAGCAACCGGTATTTTTGATAACAAATTCAGATAGACTGAATGTTTTAAGTCATTTTGACCAATTAACCATGGCTTTTAAAGCCAAAATTGACTAAGTGTCAAGTGAGTTGTGTCTGTGTACAGCATAACTAGTCGAAATTATGCTTCAAAAACGTTGGGGGTAGTTCCCGATGTCAAAGTGAATATCCTTGGACCTTGGTGCATTATACGGGTCAAAATGTATGGCAGAGCGACATCTACTTACCCGCTTTTTTACAATTCATTATAAAATGCATACAACCATTTATATTTATAATTATTTATTATTGGTTACTTTTTGAATATTTTTACGTATACAGTTGTAATAAATTGTAATTAAATAATTTTATATCCATATTATGTTAATCTTATTTATAATAAGTATAAAAAAAAATAAATACGTATACGAGTATTAAATCTATGCATACGGCATACCACATAATCACCTCCTCACGATATTATTATCAATTTGATAGTGTATCAATATTTATCTTATGCCGGTGGTAGTGAGGAATTGATAAGAAATTGTTGGCCAGTATCGTGATTTGTGTCTTACAGTCTCTTGTGTGACAATAAAATATAATTACCTACAACTATAATTATTTATTATTTTATCTGTCACTGTCAATTATCTATACATTATAAGTATAATTTGTAAGATTGTTTATAGTGTTATGATCTATATATATATTAGTATATTACCAATTTTGCTAATTTTGTGCATAGAATTTATCATACTTAGTATTTACAAGTTACATTATAATATTTGCTTGGCGTTTSAAAATAAATTTACCTACAGTTCAGTTCTATCTTCTATGCTAAGTATTGTTTTGTAAAGGTAGTTGAAAAAATGTCATCAAACGTAAAACATATTATATTAGTGATGTCTGGAAAAGGAGGAGTTGGTAAATCAACTGTAAGCACTCAGTTGGCACTTGGATTAGTAGCTAAAGKATATCGGGTAAGATCAACATTATCAATTATGATAAGTTTCGAATTGGAGGTGATTCATAAAGCTTTAATTACATAAGACAAATATTAAACTTCTAATACTTGTGGCAATGATTTAAAATAGAGGAAATATAAAAATGTGCTTATAGCTGTAAACTATAACTTGATATTTTTCTTTTTGGAAACCAAGAAACAAWGTACACTGTTTRCAGTWCATAAAGTACTATAAACATTGAAATATTGACAATGCTAGATTCCTTTCAAAATTGTTATATTAATTTGTTTAGGTTGGCATATTGGATGTAGATTTATGTGGTCCATCAGTACCGTTTTTGTTAAAACTAGAAAACCAAGAGGTACATCAATGTGAAGCTGGTTGGGTACCAGTTTATACAGATGAGTCAAAATCTTTAGGTGTGCTTTCAATTGGATTCTTGACCAAATCTAGAAATGATAGTGTAGTGTGGAGAGGACCAAAAAAGACTGGTTTGTCATTTAATATATCTATTATCTAATGATCATCTTTATCAACATGTATGTATGTGTATTGTGTATGTTATGAAACAGCATTCATAAAACAATTGCTTTCTGATGTTTTCTGGGAAGATGTTGATTATTTGATTATTGATACACCACCAGGCACATCCGACGAACACATWACAGTTATGGAGAATATTAAGTATACAATTATATTATTAATTTATTAATTTAAGATTTAATAATATACCTACTTAATTGTTTTCCTCATAATTTTAGAGAAGCTCCATGTGACGGAGCAATACTTGTGACAACTCCACAACAAATTGCTTTGGATGATGTTAGAAAAGAGTTGTCATTTTGTCRTAAAACTGGTATCCCAATACTAGGTATAGTTGAGAACATGAGTGGATACGTTTGCCCTAATTGTTCTGTGAGTTAATTTATCACTTAAATATTATTTTGACTTATTATTTAT